AAAGACATTAGAAACTGTGGTACTAAAGAGTGACTATAACTCACGATCACAAATGAAACTTCAAGATTGCAAATCCACTTTAATCGATTTAAATCTCCTTTAAAATACACTTCACTATCCTAAATTTAAGTCTCCTTATCTAAAAGAAGTGCTGTTCAATAAATGCTCGTTCATTTCGAGGATCTATGGATCTCTAAAGGATCTACATATTTTTCCTGCGGATAATTATTTCTCATTCGTTACAGTCGCAGAAAGTAAATGCAAGCAAGCGACCAACGACTGAATTTTATACGTTAGAAATGAATTACAATTAAAAATAATTCCCATAGATCCCTAGTGGAAAAATAACAGGTAGGTACACCTGAGTTTTGGATTACTTCGTGACGCGTCGAAATTAATTTCAAAGGGTTAAAAGTTCTGATTAGGGATACAACTTCGTTCATACTTGCGAACATCGACACTCTGGTTCGTGTGTGCAACGTTAAATAGGATTAAGAGGAAGCGATGTAGATCCCTCCTTACCGTACAAACCCTTTCGCAAACGATCGTGAAACTCGTTACCTTGGTGAGCTTTTGTGGTACTAATAATGTCAGCCTCTTGTTCTTCTGCACACCGCTGATCTCATTCAGTATGCATGGGATTTCCTGTAAAAACAAATCCGCATACGGCAGATTTTCTTTACGGAACAACCGAAAAGTTGCTTCGAAATAAGCGTCGTTTAACCCTTTTCACTTGTGATTCTTTTACTGACTACGCGTGCAAGCGTAAGCTGTTTATTATCTTAATACCGTGTAAAGTAAGAGAAGCTTGTGTATCGTGCATCCTTCACAATTTGATCATTCTCAGCCATATGTTAGATGTAAAAATGAATTTTTTCCAACTGGATTCACATAACCGATTCAAAGCTACGTTGATATTCGCAAGCTACCAGAAAAATGGCAAAAAGTCGTCAACGATAATGGAAATCATTTCGATGATTCATCTGTTTTCGTTCTTTTTAAATAAAACTTTGATTGTATACACAAAAGTCGGGAAGAATTCGTTTCTACACCTAACAAATTGTAACTAAATTTTGAATTAAAATGAATCTTTAATGCTGATATAACTGTTTTTGGGGCAAGCTGGGCCCTCGCTGTCTATGGAGCCACATTTTAAAACCTTACTCTTCGCAAACAATATAAAAAACAGCCTAGCTATAGTTACAAAAATGAAATGTTTAGTTTTAAATATTAAATTCGTAATATGAAAACAAGAGCTGAAAACGGAAACGCTAAATTTATTTAAGACCTGTCCATTTCATGCCTTGTAATCATGTTGTCAGATTGCGTTGTAACAGTTTTCAACAATTCTTTTCCAATACTTTTCCATTGAAATAACGACATTTTTTTCGTGACGCATGAAGAGTTCAATCTTTGATGCTTACGACTGAGACAACTTATTCTACCGAAGAAAATATTCTATGATTTTTATTTACACGACCAATGTAAACGTTCCGTTCTTTTTCTTTCATCATTGGAAAATGTCGCTTAATCGCGGTGATCTATAGATTCATACAACATGGAGTACATACAAATTGCAACTATGTTAATGTCACAGCAGCGTGTGGTAAATTAATGCACATTCGTTACATAGTTTCAGAATGATGGAAATTTACCGAGGACGTCTATCTTAAGACTCGTTTATGAATCAGAAGGAAATAAAGAGTGTTAAATTCTCACACTTCGAATCTTCGCTAATGCAATTTCTCACGATTCTCTTTTAATCGCAAATGAAATCTTAATCATAATTCAAATCTTTTACTCAATTTTTTATTAAGCAAACTCTATATTACTCTATTATCCAAACTTTATGTTAAATGCTTTTCGTGTTAATCAGATAAGAAATGTAAAAATTTGGAATATAAGTGAAATGTAGAAATATGAAAATATATAAAGATGAATGAAATATAAAAATTTTAAAATACAGAAAGAAATATAAAATAAAGAAAAATATGGAAATTTAAAAATATAGAATGATAAATGAAACACAAAAATACAAGAATATACTAATTTCTAAAGTCCCGAGGTGTTCGAATGTAAAAAGTGGGGATATTAGGAACATCAGGGAACAACTATAAAGGGTAAAAGGCTGGGATGAAAAAGTTAAGAAAACAGCCCTGAAGATTCGAACCTCCGGTTGAAATTGAATTGCATTGAACCTTTGTTAAACGTAACTCCTGGTCGCTTATTTTCCATTTACTTCGTATCAATTCGTTCTCGAGGCGGGAGAAGGTTGTGTCGAGAAATAGATACAGACGAAATCTTAAAGAAATCGTTAGCGGTTTCCTTCGAGGAATAGGTACACTCTATATCGGAACATCTCGAAGAAACTTTTCGCGATTCCACATCCCGCTTTTTCGTATCAAGATTGAACACATACTTCGGAACTTCTGCATCGAATTTTTCGTGTTCCTATGTATCGCAAGTAGGAATTTATTAAGCCTTATAAAAAGTGTCTGTTTCAATAATGGAATGGAAAAGTTTATCGAAAATGTGATCGAAGAGTTAGCAGATCATCGATAAATCGTTGCGAAAATCGGAAAAAGTGAGCACAGTTCGTGGCTACTTATTTAAAATAAGTTATTTTCTTTATGTTCATTTATCTCAATTTAATTTAATTTAATTTTATGGTTAATTGTTTTAATTTAATTTAGTTTCATTTTACGGTTAATTATTTAAATTTTATTTAATTTCATTCTACGGTTAATCACTTTATTTATTTACCGTTTATTTTACAATAATTTTGTTGCAAAGAAGGAACCGGAGAAATGGTGTTGTCAACATGTAATCTCGGTCTGTTTTAACAGTTTAGAGTTTAGGTATACGAAGTTTGCTGTTTGCACGAAGACTTTTGTTACCGACTGTATTTAGTAGTCGTGGATAAACGTGTTTCGATTCGAGCTTTTGACGTTGCAGTGTACATCAAACAGGTGACGAAGTTACAGACGTTGTTCTTAGGTAAATCTTCGAATAACTAACAAGGTTTGTAATTTACTAAGATCAACGAAACTAGTTTTCTTCATAGCAACAAAGGTACCATGCGGATATGAGACGTTGGCACACTACCTACAAGCTAAAACAGCACAGGGAACAGGGGAGTCATCCGCTCAATCACCAATCTAAGTAACTGCAGTGTAACAGCGACACTTCTATTGGCTGAGTCGATCATATCTGCAGTTCTTGGCCAAAAAATTAGGGCCACTCGCAATTTTCAACATCTTTCGCGTTTCGACCATATATGGAAGTCATAAACACCGTCTTTCTGCCTTATTACATATCTGTGAACGCAGTTCCCGGTACACATTACTGTCAACAGATTATGCGCACCTCGAAACCAAGCATGTTTGATCTGATGCATCTTTTTCTATCATCAAAAGCAAGCGAGCCGTTCAGGTGACCTGTTTCAAATGCCCCACCCTGTGTATATTTCGACAAAATGACGGGCAGGTTTTTATCACGAAAGTTTTAACTTCTTCAGGCGATAAAAAGAAACTACTGCAGATATTGACATGTTTGTAATTCTAGCGCGGGCGATAAAGGGATATCTATTGAGAAATCATGGCAGCCAGTTTGCAAAACAATTTCAAGGAAAACGCATTTGAAATTGTGCTACACTTAGCATTTCTTGAGATCATTGTAACTTTGTCACTTGATCGATTTCAAGGTGTCACACTTGAAGGAAATGCGATTTTTTAAAAATCGGTTGGTCGACCTCTCTAAATGGGAATTCCCTCCTTAAAGATGTAATTTTTATACATTATCATAATCTTCAAGACGTTCAGATCAGGTCGTACGACATTCAGACCGAAAAAAGGACATAAATCGGAGATCTCTAAAACGACGTTTACTATCTGGGTACGTAACTTTAGAAATACTCAAGATGGTAATTTCTATTGGTCCACCCTATACACAAATTTCCTCTTTCAAATTATTCTAAATGAATAGAAAATCAGGTAGGAACTCCGTACATAAAGATGTTAATTACAAAGTTTGAGTTGAGGAGCAAGTTCATATGAAGTTCGCATATACTGTGAAAGATAGTGTTTTCACGTGTCTTTTGGAAGTCTGTTCGTTACAATTAGACAATACTTTGAAAATGGTAAATTTAGGCACTTAATGTTTTTCTTTCACTAAAAAGGGAAAAACACCACTAAAGCATCTTTACGAAGAAGGTAGCCTATCAGAAAAAATTTCGATCTTAAAAACAACGTTTAAAAGAACTTTCTGACAAAATGGCATTTTCTCACAGAGTAAAGAAATTCATGCTTCAAGACGCAGAATTCACTTATTTACTTAAAAATCGGCGCACAATAGAAACTCCTAATCTCGACAAGTCTGTCGAAGAAGCATCGAGAAGATTTCGCGAAAAAAAATCTCGGCACGCCAAGTACCAAGAAACGCTAATCATCGTTACATGCAATCCAACCGAGTAATCTCGAGATGATACGCGAACGTGATGGCCGGTGATTGGTAGTGCAGCGCGCGGCAAAAGGCTGAAATTGTCTGTATAAAGCGGCGGAAGGGACCGTGTACAGAGTCAGTCTGTGGCACAATACCGCGAAAGATGGATCGCTGGGTTGGAAAGGTAGCAATCGTAACCGGTGCGAGCGGCGGTATCGGCGCCGCGACGGCGAAAGCTTTAGCGCTCCACGGCGTTAAGGTGGTCGGTCTCGCGAGACGTGTAGACAAACTGAAGGAACAACAGGCGGAAATCGGCAAGGACAAGTTTTACGTGGTCCAGTGTGATGTCAGAAAGGAGCAAGATATCGTGAAAGCGTTCCAATGGGCCGAGAAAGAGGTTGGTGGTGTTGACATCCTCATAAACAATGCTGGAGTCGCCGAAGGCAAACCCATCATAGGTAAAACACACTTGCTGATGTTCTTCTCCCGATTATTTCGTTGAAAGTTTCAATTCGATCTGGATCAGACTGTGTCCTAACTGGACGTCTTATAGCGACAAAATCATATTAAAATCGTGTAAAAGAAAGAGACAAATCATATTACACGATCGTGCCCAAATTGGCAATTAGCGAATTTCAAACGAGTTTGTTTTTTTGTCGCATTGCACGCATGAATCTTGCGACAAAAGGCTAAGGGATTAGGATTTGACTTTTTCACACGGACGCCCATCTCTGCTATTTTTGAGGATTTTTATTTTTTGAAACTTTCGTTAAATTAACTCTCTTTGATGACAGTGAAATTCGCCGAATTTTATCCTGTCTACTGTATGACGTTTCCTCTTGCGTGTATTTTTTCATAATATATATTTTAAGTAACTATTTTCACTAAAAAAAAAAAGCAACCCCGACTTCGACAAAGGCATCTTGAAAACTGACCGCTCTGGTCGTAACTAGTATTCGACAGCCGGCCGTATATGGACACTGTCGCATTGTCGTCCGATCGACCGACCAAGCAAAGATTTCGTCGCTCTACTGTTAACACTTTCGCTGCCACTTGAAATCGAAAAGGGGCCGCTTGCCTCCGATTCCTAGTCAGGCATAACATAGAAACACGCTGTCTCAGCGTTCAACGAAGGATTCGTGACGGTATAGTCGGTGGAAGAAATATAGCGAGGCCGTAAATTGAAGCGTTAAGAGGTCGTATAGGTTTCTCGACGCTAAAAAGTGATCAGTGTTTGTGAGTGATTGGGGGACAAACTATTAGGTTGATTTGTATTACAAAAGTACATGTTTATAGAGAAGAAAACAGGAATGAAAAATTGAAAATTATTAGAAATATGGCGTCTGCGTGTAATGGCATAAAATGGTACCTTTGGCGCCCTAAAAGATGGGTATGATTCAAAATTTTCGATTTTCTAACACTTTTTGGAATCGTAGTTCTCAGAAAAAAAAAAAAAATACAGCAATGACAGCATTGAAAGAAAGTATCGTGATTTTCACTTATTGTTAGAGCTTTCATAGGTTTAGCTAGGATCGAATGTGGCATTTTTCTAAAGCATACTTCTGCGGCCTTGACTGAGGTTTTCTGTCGATTCGCTTGTTGATAAGCTCGAACGTGTAAACTCTGACACCTGATCATATTTCTTCGATTGACTGTACTCGTCTATTACACAGCGACTTTTGATGAGCACCGACCGACGCACTGCCGACACTGGCACATACGATGCCCTATACAGTAGCTGTGTCAGTAAAAGTGTTAAAAGACTCGATATTTTTTCTTCTTTTCTTTTCTTTTTGTTTGAAGTCCGAATTTAACTTGAATCACCGCTAAAGATCTCAATATTTTCTGCCTTTTTCGTTTGAAGCTTGAGTATTACTTAACCCTTTCGTTCTGAAAAGCGTGAATCAGTGCTATATTAAGATGAATTATTTTTGTACAAATTGTGCAAATCTGGCAGGCATTTCAATTTATAAAAAATTTACAGTTAAATCGATTATTTCTACATAAATCTAATAGGCTTCTAACAGTGATGTAACATTGATCATAGTGTAAACTTCATAAACATAATGGAAAATGTAAAACTTAACGGGAAATTTTTACTTGAAACAAACGACTTTTCTACAGCACTCGGTGTAAAAGATTCACGGTAGCCTTGCATAACTATTTATAACGTGAAACACTCTGATGTGTCTACAAGTATGAAGTATTGTGCGTTAAAGCGTGTTTATCAACAACGTTGCCTGTTCTCTCGATTACGTCACTAGCATTTACTGATTACGCCATTTATCCAAAAGTGTGAAAGCAATTAAATAGATTTCATTATTGACGATAAGTAATACCGGAATGAGGAAAACGAAAAAGTCTATTATTCGTCTAATTGAAATTAATAAATGGAATGTTTTCTTTAAATCATTGCAATATGTATTCAAAACTTTGAAATCACGACGATATAATAACATTTGTCATACTGGTCGATTATTTTTCAATTTATAAATAAAACAAGAATGTAATTATTATTTTTAAATTACTTATTATTACAATATGTAAATTTCACTATTTCATTACTACTTCAATTTTATTTTATCAACATTTACTAAATTACACAAGACGAGTGATTGTTTAAATTTTTACTCTTACAAGTGGAGTTTATTTACGCGAATATCGCGTGTTATTGTTCCGCTCACGTACTATCGAGGAATGTATTTACATGTACGCTGCGTAAACGTAATATCTGAATGATAGTTTTATCGTGTGTGACTAAGATATCTATAAAGCACATGTGTATACACGCTTATTGAGTCCACCGATTTCAATGCCAATATCACGCAACAATGAACTACGTAAGAATATTATACGACTCTTTCCTCAACGACGACGATGGAACTACGCTGAGGAACTTTCTCAAAAACGTGTCCCTGCTCCACGTGCCCCTGCTCCACGTGCTACCTGTTGCTTCATGCCGTTTCAAAACATTGAACGGCCAGTAACAGAACGCGTATGTTTATACCTAATAACAAGTTCCTCCGAATGTATAGTACACTATTCAAGTAATCTGAACTTTCTTGAAACAGAATTCCTTTCAACAAAGCAATGAACTTTCTCGAAACATAATTTTTTTTTTTAACAAAGCAATCACTACTTGTTTCTGTAACTCACTGCCAACGCTCTATATTGAGTTTCATTTGCAAAAAATGAATTAACTGGTGTTTTGATCTCGACATCCTTCCCAAAGTGCTTATTTGCGAGAAAGTTTTTTGCAAGTGACAGTCATAAAGACACAGATCTGGACTACAAGGATGATATAGCAAAACCTCACATCCGACATCCTTTATTTTTGCACAAGTCATTGATCGTGAGACGCGTGCTACTGTGACGGGGAATTTTACCCCACATTTTACAAATATCAATGTGTCGGAATCCGTTGCTGCTAATAACAATTCTTTTGTTTACGAAAATGAGTAGCTTACTCGATGATTTCCGAAACTATACACTTCTAAAGCTAAAGACTGACAGTGAGGAGTTTACGAGTCACGTACTACCTTTATTTCCAACGGTTCCCCTTTTATACAATTGCCCTTCCCTTTATTACAATATCGGTTAATTCCGATGCGTGTGGCCTGTCCTGGATTCCTGTAATATCGACTGATTTTTAAATGGAAATTGTATTTATCCCGATGTGTGTGGTCCGTCTTGGGTGTTATGTGTCGTGGGTATTATGTGTCGTGGGTATTACACTGCAAAAGAAGTATTCACTACCGGCCAAAAGTTTGGAATCACCTCGCACCTTTCATGAATATTAAATCTGCTGCTAATTTTTCATAGATTTGAAGTTTATCTCAATTCTACATTTATCAATTTATCTCATATCGATTGATTCGAATGATAAAAAATTCTCAAAGTCGCTGACTTTTCAATGTAAATTGCAATGCTCAGTGATTCCAAACTTTTGGCCGGTAGTGTATATACACCTTTCCTGTTAACAAATGCTAGTTGAATTTTGATGATTCTGGAATGGACTTCATTGACCAACTAAATAGATGAAACCTCTCACTGATACCAACCTTATGCGTTAGATTTGCGAACTGCTATGAAAAATTCGGTCTGAGTTTATCTTTGATAGAAAAACCGTATATTGGAGAAGATATTTTGTAATTTTTCTTTTGTACGATCAATGATTTTTACGTTTCATTCTTTTTTTTCTTTTGTTCTGTTTTGTAACGTTTCTTTTCATCTTTATAAAAAACGCTTAGTCACGGTGATCTGTGGATTCGCGCAACAAGATGTACAGACTAATAATTGCAATTAGCACACAGTTGTCCATGAAATGTGACTGCCACGATAATACACGGTAAATAGCAATGTTGCACAATGCTGGAACCTTACCGAGGAAGTAAATCTTCAGGCTCGTTCATAAATCAACTTTAATGCGCAACATGAAAATTTATCGTTGCATCAAGACATATTGTCAAATTAGGAAATAAAACGACGATAATAAATAATATAACAGTAATTTGTTTCGGTTTCGACACATTTTTAACAATGCATGAATTTGATTGTTAAATGAAAAAATATAGTAAGAATTGGCTAATGTGCAGTGCGAAGAAATGACGGAATGAGGAGGACGATGACAAATTACTATTTAAACGGCCATAAAGAGTGAAGAACAGTTTAACCAATGAATAAAAATTTTCACTTGCCTTTCGTTAGTCCGAACGACTGAAAGTCACATAAGTACGTTGAATTTACCTCAGACAATATTATTATAATACGAATTGGAATAATAACGAAATAGAAATTAAAACATTCTTAAAAAATACGTTATAATGTGTCTCTTGTAAAATTATACAACTTCCGTAGAAAACATTCAGTTTTGCAGTATTTCGATTTGTTTACACCGTTTCACGCGTACTTTGCTTTCCAAAGTAACGAGATTGTGCTGAATGAAAGAACACGATGACACTTGTGGAATGCATTTCTTGACGTCATATGAAACACGTCAACGAAGAAGAAAAAATGTAAACGGATGTAAATAATTCTACTTTAAGGCACAAGGCTAATAATAATTATCGCTGATAATTACAATTGAAAAAAAAAAGAAATTATGAAAAAAATTATCATCGTAAAAATGAGTCAAGAGCGTAGAATAAAACCTGTTCCAAGTGCAATACTATACTGTACTTTGCGTTTAGTGCAACGTCATTTCTTTCTGTCCAAGAAACAGTGAAAAATAAGATATCACGGTTGAAAGTATCTTTTTTTTCGGTAAAAGTGTATTTAAAAAGCTGAAATTGTTTGTACATCGAAAAAATTAGAAACTCGAACGTTATCAAGATCCGCATGAAGCGACAGTAGATACTTTCAACTAAATACACTGATTAATTCTATAGAAAAAAAAAGTAAAGATCAAGATACACTTTCTCCAACGATCTAAATTTCTAACTTCGTATGAAATTGCGTTTCGATCTTAGTTTCGTCGGAAATGAAAGTGTGCATAAAATAATAGCACAAAAAAAATATATATATTAGCTCTTACAAGTTGAAGTTATCGCGTTGTGAATTTTTCTTAGCGGTTGCACCGTCTGTAATGAAATTCCTCGCAGAGATACGCGAACGAATACATCAAACACTTTCGTTGATGTTGTTCTGCGACGGTCATTGACCGCGACCGCGATGGCCTTCGTTTCTGCCGAACGGTTGTACGGGATATTCGCCTGTATTTTTCGCGCATGAACGAGAAGGCGCATTTTTACGCGGGAGACTTTCATACGCTCTCAAAGTTAGAGTTTGAAATTTTTTCTTAAACTACGATTTCGTAATATATATCGACTAATTTTATTCGACAAATTTTTCTCTTTATAATTCTAGAATTATTCAAGGTTGTAATTTTTACTGGCCCACTCTGTATACTGACAGTGAGGTTGAAAGAATGCACCATCCATAGTAATCAGAGAATCGTAAATTAATGAAAAAATTAATAGTTAAGGAACTATCATTATAATGCATAAAAATTATTTCTTTGAAACCTGACATTTAAATAATTTCATTGTTCTGTATTATTCGGAATTATTCCATCTCTGTCGATAATACTTTCCAATTTAATTTTGAAATTTTATTTCCCCTAGTTATGCAGGGTGACTCGCGAGAAAAAGAACATGTGAATATTTTTGTTAGCATTGAATATAGGAGAAAATGTCAAAGAAGACAGTTGTACTGTTTAAGAGGCCACGTATAATTATACAAACAGATTACAATCACAAAATGTTTGTAACCGATTAGCTCATTTTCAACATTTAATTTAATTCAAATGAAATAATTACACACTTGAAAGTTGTCGTTGCAATTTTTGAATTTTCTCTCTTACACTTTCTTCTATCCCCAATTCTAACATGGATATCTATATACATATTTACATAAGTATTGTACTTATGTGTTCTGCTTTTCGTGACTCACCCTGTATAATCTCATAATCTGTCCACCTCAGATATCTCCGTCATTTCAAATAGTAAACAAAAACATTGCGTACAAACGTTGTGTGGTCGCAAGAACGACGTAACATGGTGACAATAGTTTCTTTAAAGATGGAGGCGTAAAAGAGATCTGAAGATCAATTTTGTTTTTTTAAACAGCACGTCCAATTTTTTATGGTGAAATTCGGTAGAACAGTGGGTTCTGAGTATAAAAATACCAAGGTACATTTATCCTAACACTGGATGGTGATGAACCGAAATGTTAATTTATGAATACTGTGTTGCAGACGCAGAATCCGCGGAAGAATATCATAAAATCGTGGATACTAATTTGATAGCTCCAGCAATTTGTGCGCGAGAAGTTACGAAGTCTATACAAAAACGAAACGCGAGTGGTCATATAATCAACATCAACAGGTATGTCAAGTTAATAGAATGTAATGTTATGCCGTTTAATAATTCGAAATTATACTTGTTCTATTCGAATAATAATTGTTTACAACTGTACCTTTTCGTACAGTTACGTAGAAATTGAGATAACTAAAAAGAAAAAATTTTTGAGAGAACTGTGTATTGTAATTTAATAATAAATTATTGTTCTTGGAATATTCACTTCGAAACATCGGTAGACTTTAACTTTGAATAAAAGAAATATATGAATGAATCGAAAAAGAATAATACAGCCATGGACTTCAATTGTGTAAGTTGAAGATTGTAGATTGCTGGCAGAATAAGCAACATTCTCTTACGTTCATTTCTGCCTCATCATCTGAAATAATTCGAACAGGAATGGACACTTTTGTTCGATTGAAGTTAAGTGTACCAAGTAAAAGATAACTACAAGATTAAGAAGGCATTTAATAGATTCTGACACTTTTAATAGATACTGGTCACCTTCACCAATCGTAAAGTAACTTAACCATATAAATAAATTTTTATCTTTGAAACTAATGAACATATATGCATAACATTCGTTTTCATTTTACTCAGAACGATCTGAGATTTTAAAATATCCCTTTTAACAGAAGAAATTGTTTTTACTATTCGTACAAATCACCTGTGATTATAACAGTGTGAAGAACCTAACTTGACGACTTTAAATTACTCGTAAATTGTTTGCTGCCTGAAAAAATATTTGGAACAAAAGTTGCATAATATCAAAAGAAACATGTAAAGTAATAGTCCATTTCTCGTTCAATTTTTTAAACGGAATATGCAACATTTCTTCCGAATTTTTACAAAGTATCAAACGCTGAATAAAAATATATTATACTAAATAGAATCTGAAGGTAACAGTTACTGGGATATCAGTAGAATAATATTTAATTTCACGCAGTGTTCAGTGTTGTTCGTTGCAATCAACGCAATTGCTTAATCGGATAATGAGCGCGTGAGAAACATTTTTAAACGTTTCCGCAGTTATTACAGCGCATGCGGTAATAAGTGTACACGCACTCTATAAATTTTCAATATCGTTCTATTCCAGAAATGAAACTTTATACGAAAAAATGTTACTTTACACTTTTCACTTATTTTTTCATGTAGATTGACTCCTTTTCGGGTTGTATAGTCTGTGAAAGCGGTACAGTAATATAGTCACGTTTGATAAAATTTTAAGAATAGAGGAAAAAAGAACTTCTCTACAGAATATGTAGCTACTTTTGGAAGAAAATTCAGGGGGTGATTCTAGGAGCCGATATAAGACGAAAATCAAGAATAAAAAAATTGCGTTTAACGCTTCGTTTTTTAGTTATTAACGTTTTAAAATATCCCCGCAACCGAGCAACCGCAAAACACACGTAATCCGAGCGTCAAAACAACAATTCGAGGGAGATAAAGAGCTCGAACCTCGTTCAGAGCCGTTCGATATCAACTAGGACTTACTTTCTCCATTGCAGTACGTTTAAAAAGTTTATCTGCACCTTAATCGTTGACAGCTACAGGTTAATTTTTACCAATAGAGGAACTACTATTGAGCAAGAGACGACTGAGAATTCATACTGCATATCACTATATCGCTTCCACAAACTATACCACCAGTTCAGAGACACCCTATATACCTATCCCCTTGATACTGTGTAACTTTTCGTTTATATTTTCATACAACAAATAATTTACGAGTAATTTGAAGTCGTTAAGAACTTATCGTTAAAAACCTACCCAAATTTTTCATACTCCTGCTGATACTACCTCTGTATATTTGCATGCTACTTACAGCATAGCTGGTTTGTACGGCGAATCCTTACACATACCGTTTGGCATGTACGGCCCCAGTAAATATGGTCTGAGAGCTTTGGGCACGGAACTTCGTCACGAAATAATCCTACGGAAGCTGAAGATTAAAATCACGGTAAGTGCATGATTTACAATTTTTTTTCTATCGAAAAGAATGATGCATGGGAAAGGCATTCAGAAAAATAAAAAGTTTGAAAGAACTCGTCATTCTCAAAATTTCTTGCAAATTCAAGCACGATATACCTTATCGTTCAAATAAATATTATAGTTTACAGTGTACTGCAAATGATAACGTATTACGTTCTAAATATTAATCCTTCGAACTCATCTTCCTCAGTTAGCAGGTTAATAATTTCTAATTATTCTGCTCCTTTTCTCTTGAAATCTTGTATAATGTTCTACAATACGTGAAAACACCGTAACCGTGATACTTCTAAGATTCTACATGATAAAATTTTCGTGTTTCGTCAGAATATCAGTCCTGGAGCAGTGCTAACTGACATGATCAAGAAACTCATTCAGCTGCCAGACTCTGAGGATACATCGATATTAAAAGACAAGGACATTGCTAATGCGGTCATTTACGCGCTGGGAACACCATCGACCGTAGAGGTGAGTGGAAAAGAAATTCGTGAAATTTCTGTGAAATGGAGTGAAATCACCGTTGGAACTGAAACTTCATCTATACTATTTTCAGATACCGGAAATCACGATGGTACCACACAACGCGGTAATAGGTGTTCCACAAGGAGTAACAGAGGTGGTAAGTTTCAATTCAATCGAGAATAATAGTTAAGTTCCTTTTGAACGGTCGTTACAACTACAAACGTGATTTAGTTAAAAGCAAAGATGCAGTAAAGAAACGAACAAACGAAGCTTGAAGATTTATTGTGACGTGAGAAGGTAGGAATATACAATTTTATTCTTCCTCGTTCCGAGAAGATGAGAATGAACAAATAAAAAAAGATTATACATTGTCTACAACCTCCTGCCTGCAATCATCTGTTGTACCACTCTCTGTATACAATGTTACGGTAAATAATAAACGAAGTTAATTATAAATATTATTTTTCCAATAATTGATGAAAGCCTGAAACTTTGTAGCCTTGTAGAAGATTGCCAACTGACCATTGTCAAATGTCGTTAAATCAATATTGTGAAAATAAGAAATTTATATCGTTCTGACTGTGACAATTTCAATTAATCCAACATTTTTCATCCTTTTTAATATCAACCTGTAAATTATTAATATCATAGAGAAGCTTCTGAAACATATTGGGAATAAAATAATAAAAAACAGGGGCCACCTAATTACATTCTCTAGCTAATTATGCTCGTATGTATATGTTAATGTGATTCAGTATTTGCAATAAAATAATTTCCCACAAAACATTTTTTGTGAACATTGTTTCCAATTCAAACGATATTGGACATGAAGTTGAACGTGTCAGAATACTGATAAATATAGAACTAAAGAAACAGTCGAAGAGAAAATTGCAATATACTTTGCTCCAGAAATAAATTTGTCAAAAAATGAAATTCCAATGTTCCAATTTTTATTCTTATTTCTGACCACGTACAATATTAAAGTATTAACTTTCCACGTGTTGCTTGCGTGAAAAATAAACAAATCCCAAAGAACGAAGGAGAAGAATTAATTTGAGTTTCATGTGACGTGTCATTTCTTTTTTCACTGTTTCTTTTTTTTTAACAACACTTAATTATACGTTAAATAAAAAAAGGAATATCTTGATAATGAAACACATGTATTTAAGTATCTACATACGACGGTACGTATCGTGAAAGAATATTTCTTATTTCAAAACAACCAGTAGCACAGAAATGAAAAATTAAACAGAACATTAGCTCTTCCTTCTTGCGGAGAAGATCTGAGAGATCGGATCGGCGAAATAATACAAAGAAAGACGAACATCAAAACAACATCTTCACAAAGCAAGCAAAGATTGGAGAGGTACTTGCTTTCCCAAAGGATCATCTAGCTATTCTTATCGGAACTCTGTAAGATACTTTGCTCATGTGGAATGGCATACATTGGAAAAATTGAGAGGAGCTTAAGAATACTGTCTGAGAAAAACGAAAAATACAGCTGATTGTGAATAAGTTGAAAGATACAAAATAGCGCTTAAATAAAAACGAAGTCATAGCCGGTGAAAAAGAAATTTCTTCGAATATACGAGATGAAGAAAGCATCCTAAAAGTGGACTATCTGACGGTAAATTATCTTTGATTCATTTCTTTAATTGAAGATTCTGAAAATGTCAAACATCGGTGTACGCTTAAATTTCTAAGATAAATAAGCTCCAATTGAAGAAGCAAAAAATTTCTTTTATTTACAATTCCCCCCCTCTTACGTTCGTTCCACAAATTAACACAACTTTTCCATCAACAGTCTCGCATAAGAAGCAAAATTTTTAGAGAACTGCTTCACAACTTAAAACATTACCACGTCAAATACTTCACCATGGGAGCTACTTTTCCGTTAGTCTTTCCCCAATTTACAGACACATCTTATATAAATAGTCAAACGAAAAAAGAATCTTTAAAATTTTATCAGAAATTTCTGAATAATTAACCAGACTCTCGTTAGATCGATCAATCGCGTCGAATTGATCTAACGCGATGATTCCGGTAATCTATGATGATCTAGCTTAAAATTGCTTACGCTTGAAAACTGATTTATTTAGAAAACCAAAGGGACCAATGGGTCTCGATAGTCAATATCTTCTGTAAATATCTTTATATATTAATAAAATGTAATTACATATTATCAAGCTATTCAAGTGAGTGAGAAATCGTCTCAAAGGAAACACGAGTATTGTTTTAGAAGAAGCAAGCCAGGCGCGGTCACGAAGCGGAATCGTCGATAAAACGATTAAAATCTGACGGGCATTAAAATCCAATTTACATGACTTTTATTTTCACCAGCCGAGATGCCCATGGAGATGCTTTTCACGCGTCGTTATCTCCGATCCTCGATCGCTAAATAAATAATGCATTTCACGGTTTTATTTCTTGTATGGCTCATTTACCACTTCTCTCACGTATGAGTCTAGGCGTCATGTACCGGGTGATCTTAGAAGTGCCCTTTGTTTACAATTACAATTTCACACGTAGAAACGGTGTTTCAAGAATTTCAAATAATTTCCCTCGATGCGTGTTAATGTGAAATATATCTGAATTAAATCCTACCATTCGAAGTCGACTTTTTCTCTCGATTATAGTTACAACTGGAGAAGAACGAACGTATAACCGAGAGTAATTATCTTTAATTCAAGTTTATCATTCCACAGAAATTTTGCACCTAATGGAAATAGAAAAATGTTACGAACCTCCTAAGAAAAATACCTAATTTAATCGTACCCTTCGAGTTTAATTTTATTGGTAACTAAACTAACGTTATAAAATTTTAAAAATGACTGATTATTCCTTTCCAATTTACAAAAAACTACCACAAACGTAACACACCACTTTTCTCAAAAGAAAAAAAAAAAAAGAAAGAAAGAAAAATCTTTCGTTAATACACTCTCTAGATGTTAGAAATCTACAAACACTGGAAGAAGAATTTTTTCGGAGGCACCCGATATGTCCTATCTATTGTGCAGCACGGGGGCGATCGGGGTCGTCTTAATGTATTCACGAGGTAAAATCGAAGGAAGAAACGAGAGCGACAAGCAGGAACGTCGAACCACTTTGCATCCTTTCCTGGAGCATAAGTGTGATCGGTATTCACGCTGGGGCGTACACAAACGGTTTGGTCGTATCGCGATTAATACACGTGTACTTACACGTGTTCATTCCATGCAATTCTGTATACAAACGGTTTGGTCGTATCGCGATTAATACACGTGTACTTACACGTGTTCATTCCATGCAATTAGACACGAAGCTCAGATTCGCTTGTCGATCGCGTTCCTTCCACAACGACTATTTACGGCTTTTTCGACTAATTAGCCTGGAGGTGATTCCAATTAAGAGTAGTTTAAAGCGTCGTGGAGTAAAATTAGCGTAGGAGGTGGTACTATAACGGTTGGTCGATTTTTCGAAACTTATAATTAGTCTCGAAACTTGCATAATTTTGTTCAAATTTTCTCCAAGATTGATGAGCGCGAATAACTTACCTGATACGAAATGATTTTATATATAGCGTGCAATTTATTTATAATTGATCGATAAAAATGTGATTTGGTGAATTTTTAAGTGGATAGAAAATTGAACTTTTCGCATAATGTATTTTTAATAATAACTATAATGTTCGAATATAATACCTAGAAATATAGAAAACGGAATATTCTTTCGAGATACGGTTTCTCTGAACACTAAAGTTCTAGTAATTTATAGTTTTTTTTTAAGTATTAAATCTTTTTTCGTTAAGTACAGTACCGTATTTATTATACGAGGTAATATTTACAACATTTAAAATTATCAAATAATATCGATTTAAAGACTGTCGTATGTTCTACCAGCAAAATTTCGTATTTTCTTTACTGTAATAGTACAGTGTTCCCCGGATCGGTGTAACACTCGTACTCTCCAGTGGGGATTCCCCACCATATCCCCACCTCGCTTCGCTGGAGCGAGTCCTTGGCTGGCTACTAAGAAAGATAAATGCGAGGAGTGTGAGTCATCCTATAACGGAAATACAAGTTTTTTTGTTATTCATGTTACATTCATGAGAGTATTATTAACAGATAGACGAAGTTTTCCCAATTAAAATGAGTACAAACATGATCTCATTCGATCTATTTGTTGCTTGAATAATAATATATGTATTTCAATAATGATACTTATTTTCAATAAAATGTATTTATATTCTAATGTACTTACGAAAATTTGAAGTAAAATAATACATAAATATTTGTCACTTCGAACATTATTAAAGACATTCCGATTATCGAATCCACTTTTTAATAACAAATTTTAATAACAACTGAATCGAATGAGATCATGCTTACACTCATTTTCATTGGAAAAATCTCACCTGTTCATTTGTAATATGTTCATCAATGTATTATAGAGAATAGCAAATTTTTTATTTTTATTATACGGTGACATAACCCTATCGATAAATGCCTGATCGTCGTCCCCCATAAATATTATGCTAGCGAACGTGACGACAGCTTCCCTTATTTAGATTTAGTGCAATTTCTTGGTCTCGGGGAATACTGTATTCCCTATACGCTCAGATATAAGTTCAACGACATCCTCTCGAAACAATATTCAACATTAAATCACCGGAAATTCCCGGTACACAGATAGAAGAGACGCTTAAATTCAACCTAATTGCAATAGCATATTAAAAAAAAAAACCCCCACCAAATGCATCTCAATTATCATAAAAAACAATTGCTAATTGTTGGTATATAATATACTAAAATATAGATTAACCCTTTGCACTGGCGCCATTATGGTGTCTTACTTCCTTCGATGTTATTAGAATGAATAAATAATTCATTCAGATCGCCCTATGCTTAAAATGGAACAACGATATTTTCGTTCCCCCAGACCAATCGTTTTCCATCGGTCAAACAGGAACCTGTTTTATTCGCTGAGAGCAGAACCAGTCCACGAGGAACATTGAACCGACACTTCTATCGACACACCTCGCTGCCTATGTGTATAAGACGGAAGTCGCAAAAACGCTCGTTAAGGCTGAACAAAGTTTCGCACCGTAGACACGCCGTGCGAACGCACCTTGAATGTACACAGACTACGACAGTGGACCTTTCAAGAATCTCGCGGACCAACCACGTCCGTGAAATCGTCACTAACGAACGCATCGTTTTATGTGTTTTTACATCTCGACATTCTTTAATTATTTTTCAGCCAGGAAAGCTGGTTTGCCGAAAACTGGATAAGAGAAGCCCTTGAAATTGCACACGAATTTCATGAATCGGGGGTCCCCCTTTATTCAACCGTGGATTCGACGAAAAGCTGAATTGGTACACGTTGAATTTGTGAAAGAATTGAATAATTGACCTTACCGCTACGTTCAAGTGTATTACTCTTGTGAACATCAAATGTTTCG